TCCCTTCTAAGGGGATTTTGATTATCTACAATCTGAAATGATAAAAGATATAATGGAGAATTTTACACACGTGTAGAAAGGGAAAACCTTTCAGTTCACCTCTTCAATTTCCTGCAGGAACTGAAAGTATTATTCACAAAAAAATGTTTTTTATTCATCAGTAACTTGCTTAATTTATTTATTTTGCGTATTGGAAAAAGAGCTGAGAAATTTTACTAATATTCATATCAACGTTTCGGAGCATTTTTTTATTTGATTCATTCCTAAACTTCCTCGACACCTGTATAAAAGTATTTATTCATATAGTGGAAGGTATTTGTTCATATAGTGGAAGGTGAAAATTCCTAAAAAAATGTTGATGAATAACAACGAACATATTCAAGAAATGAAAGGTTTTTGTAAAACGACCTTTACCGAGCTGGTTAATGGATCAAAAGTATTCTATATGAAATTGAATATGTCCATAAATATATTGCAAATGGGTTAATTGAAAAATTCCAGCCCAGAATATGATTAATTTATTTACTGATATGGTGACTTATATCAATCGAAAGTATGAAGCCCATAGAATATACAAACGTTGGGTTGACTAATTTTTTCCGTCACAACTCTTGGGTAGACACGTATAAAGAGGTAAATCGATACCAGTAACTTGCACTGGGCTGATTAATGAATTGAAGTTGAGTTTGAATATCCACCGGAAGACAGCTGTTTCAGCATTGAAGACAAAATGTGAATTCTTCAATTATTTGTATGAAATTTGAGGAGTGAGATGCTAACAATTTTTCTGGGTATAACTTCAACTTTGACTTTTTTTGCATTTGAGAAAATCCTCTATCGATCTGTATTCATTTATTTTTCAAACAACAGATGCAATCTTCGAAAAGTTTGAGAAAACTTTTTGTCAACACTCTCAAGGACTTTTGAGCCCAGTCACAACGTCTTGTGTTATTTCATTCCGTTCAATTTCATTGTGACGTTCCGAATTAAATTTGACTGCGGAGGATGTTCATAAAAGAAGCCATAAAGGACATTTATGTTTAGGAGACGGCGCGGAACACATCTTAAACCGCTCTATTTTGATTCTTTACCGTTACAAAGGCTCTACACAGGCGATTCCATTCATGAAATACATTCCGCCGGACATGATAAAAGTGAGCACCACGAAAAAGTAAATTGCGCGTCTAATAGTCTGCGTTTGCCGCAGTTCAAGCAAATTGAGCAGTTTGTACATTATTTGTTTTGAACCTGATAATGTGTTTTCGTGGAAAATGAAAATACACGCAATTTCAATTCATTGTAAAAGTTTTATTGTTTATGGAAAACTAGTTTTTCAGAACTAAGATTATACGAACATAAGAAGAGAAAGAAAAAAATGCATTTAAAGTGAAGTAATAGAATTCCATTGATCCAAAATGAGCATATATCGTCCCATCCAATTCTCACTTAAGAAAGGCCATCTTAACATCTGAATGAGCAGTTTCTAGATCTATTTGTACAGCTAAGGCAAACAATGACCGCAAAGTGGTATGTCTAACTACAGGTAGGAATGTTTCAGTGTAATCAATACCTCCTTTTTGATTATAACCTTTTGCAACCAATCTGGCACGAGAAATTGTGTTATTTTTACTGTCACACTTTTTCTTTAATACCCACTTACACTTTACTATAGTTTTTCCTTCTGGAACATCTGTCAGGATCCATGCATCATTATGATGGAAAGACTGCAATTCCTTATGTATTGATTTAATCCAATGCTCCTTCTCTTGACCTTCTAAAGCTTTCTCTAAAGATGGTTCATCAACTTCTGCACTGGAACTCTCAGTACAAAAATTTGAAAAACCATACCAATCAGGTTTGCGTCTTTCTCTAGCGGGCAGGCTTTTTACAGAACATCTTCACTTGGTATGTACATTTCCCTTCATCATCTGGCTGAATTTCAGGATTCTAGCTATCAACTGTCACTGTCTGGCTGTCACTATTCTGGCTGTCAACTGTCACTGTTTGAATCATTTTCCATGATGCTGACATCTCGACTTACTGTGATTAGTTTAGTATTAGGATTGTAAACTGTATATCCCTTCACATCTTCAGCATATCCCACTAAGATACACTCTTCTGATTTTTTGTCCCATTTTTGTCTTTTTTGTTTAGGCACATATTTCATTACTCTGATTCCAAATACTTCAAGATGACTAATATCAGCTTTAGTATTAGTCCATAACTCAAATGGAGTTTTATAATTTGAGCTTCGCTTCGCTTCGTAGCACCTTGATTTTTTTTTCAAGTAGGTTTTCTACTCTGGCTAATAACGTTCAAAACATTGAAAAGCCTCACTTTTATTTATCATAAAGTATATGTGAGTCATACGACTATAATCGTCAATAAAAATGATAAAGTACCTTGATCCTCCCAGAGAAACAGTTTACATTGGACCGCAGATATCTGTGTGCACAATTCCTAGTAATTGAGTATTCTTTTTATCACTGCTTAAAAAAGGAAGCCGACATTATTTTCCTTCATAACAAGTAACACAGGCAGTTTTTTTGTTTTCCTTCTGTTCAATGGAAATACCTTCAACAGCATTCTGCATTCTATTCAGGTAAGTATTATTGACGTGACCAAGTCTTCGATGCCACATCTCTTTGGATACCACAGCTGCAACTGAGACATACACTGGAGTATTTAACTTGTACACCCCATTGAATAACATATAGGTAGCTACTAAAACACCTTGTTTGTTATAAATGTCGCAACCATTGTTTGTAAATATTACTTTATTTCCTTTATTTATTAACTGACTCACAGACAGTAGGTTAGTAGTCAGACTAGGAACACACGTAACCTCTTCCACGATCACATCAAAGTTGCATTCATCTGTACATGTAGTGATTTGCACATCATCAGAACACTTAACAGGCATTTTTGCATCATTTGCTACAACAATCTCCTTCTTGGATGGTTGATATGATGCATTTTTGATCCAATGTTCGTTTGTTGTTA